TGAGACATATTCCGCCCACCAAGTTGATTTAGACACGATAAAAGTTAACATAATCACAGATAAGGATTTACATGTGGATGTATCAGGGTTAGAAAGGATTAGGTGTTATGCGCATTCTGTATTTTGTTCTTGTTGGATCTGTTCTAATGTTTATTATGTCATTAATGTATAGATGTATATTTTTTATTTAATTGTTTTGTTATTTCTTTTTGTGATGTACATGTATCATGATGCTACAATTACATTTAAATTGTTACTGATGTTATTGTTTTGTTCAAATCTAAACAGACGCAGGAAGAAAGTTTGGAAAGGCGTCTCTCTACACTATCATCAGAGTTTCAAAATATACAGTATAGACACGGGTTGTGTACCCACAAAAATTTATCCTCATGTATCAGCCAGCGGGTATCCTCCATTGTTGAAAATAGTCTGTTAAGTGAGACATATTCCTTCCACCAAGTTGATTTAGACACGATAGAAGTTAACATAGTCACAGATAAGGATTTTGTATCAGGGTTAGAAAGGATTAGGTGTAAAACTTGTTCTGTATTTTGTTCTTGTTGGATCTGCTCTAATGTTTATTGTGTCATTGATGTATGGAATAATTGCTATGTATATTGTTTTGTTATTTCTTTTCATGTAAATGTGGAAATAAATCAAATCAAATGCACAACTCTCAAACTAGGAGTCAATTGGATCAGATGGGAGTACCCTTTACTTTAAATGTTACAGTAAGATAGAAAACACTGCAGTTTGGGAGTACAATACCATGTGGAGTGGTGTACAATTGGAAGGAATTGAAGGGAAGAAGACCAAAAAGACAGATGTCGTCAAACCATGTAGTCAAAGATGGTTACAGATAATGAGCTGGGTGACAAGGGGTTTTCTCTGTTTATGAAGAGGCACCCAGAGCTGTCAATCAGGATACCCCAGCAATTAGGGGGAGAAAGGGCTATCCTTACAAAGGAAAAGCTAGACACCTGGTTTCAGGACCTCAAGTCCTATCTTCAGGAGCAAGGGGCCCGGGACGTCCTAGAAGATGGATCGCGGGTGTTCAACTGCGAAAAGAGTAGCTTCCCTCTCGCTTGCAAAATGGAGAAGGTCGTAGCAGAGAAGGGGCAAAAACTGTCAGTTCGTACAGCACATCTGACAAGACGCAAATCACAGTGCTGGTAACCATCTCCGCTTAGGGGGTGTTTTGACCGCCCACCATGGTGTACGCCGGTCAGGGGTTCCGGGAGAATCCACTAGGAGGAGGACCGGCCAATGCGTACCTTGGGAGGTCAGCGAGTGGTTGGATGAACAGTAATGTATTTTACTGTTTCATGAGCAACTGTTTCTAGCCCTTCCTGACCTCCTAAGGTAATCCATACCAAGCTGCTCTAGAAACACAGGTTGTTGATTGGTTCCAACAATTTATCTTTTCATTAACATCTAATCAATTAATGACCTTGTTACGTTTCATCACGTCATCCGATATTTTGAATGGGCATATTGGAGCGTCATTCGATGGATCCCAAAATGGAATGGGTATGTTGCAGGTGGCAACATGTGGACGGCAAATAACATTTTTCGAGGTACATTATGTCATATAAAATCCTAAAGACCTATTTGTTAAATATAATTTATAACCCTGACCTATGGAATACGTTTGACACTGTTTGACATTTTTAGGGAAGGGTTGTTTTTTTTTTGGGGGGGGGGGGGAGGGGGGGGGGGAGGAGGACAGAGAGGGCGAAAAATTCAAAACTTTGCTGGCCATCTCCCAAGCAAAAGAGCCACGTAAGTATTTCAAAGTTTATGGCTATGAATGGCTTGAATCCTTGGATGAAAGTTGGAGGTCATCCATCACATGCTTACAGTAGAAGCAGTACCAGACCATTGTCTTTGTGCTGTATGTGAAGATTCCGAGGCATCGGTTAAATGCAAAGACTGTAGGAGGTTTCTATGCAGGGACTGTGCCTCAAAGAAAGCACATACAGCATTGCCTACATGATCGACAGTCCTGGGAAGATGGGTATTATGTCAATGCTCCCATTGGTAAGTGCAACAGGGATATATCGGGGAATGATAGCCGACATGCTTTAGAGATTGATTCAGCTCCGGCAGAGAGAGATCAAGAGAGCAGGCAAAATGACCAGTCATCGAAACCTTCCTGGAAAACAGAGATCTGTCCAATCTAATCACTATTTGAAGAAGATATAAAGTTAACGTTGATATCTATCACTATACCTCTTGTATGAATATTTTGGGAGGATTCATAGTTTTGCTAGCACACGGTTGGCAAAAAATTGCCTATTTTCTTGGACATGTTAGTTTCTGTACAGACTTTCGGACACAGTTGGAAGAACCAGACCGAGCGAGTAATGTCCAGCTTGACCTTTGGGTTGCAAGGTGTGGGGGTCATGAGGAGTGAAATGAACAAACCATGGAACAAAGGGTCAAATCAGCGAACAACAAAAAAGAAATAAGAAACCTGGCTAAGAAAGAGGGACATCTTCAAGAAAAAGATTTAGATTTCATTCAGCCTCCTTAAGTACTTCTTGGTAATGTCTTTTCAAGGCTGCAATTGAAGGGGCAGAACTTTAAATTCATACACCTCAACTGCTGAAAATGTTTCAAGATTAAAAGTAGAACTTGGAGAGGATCCATACCAAGCAGAAACACAGGTTGTTCACTGGTTCCACAATTTATCTTTTCCTTAACTTCTGCGCAATTAATGATCTTGCTACGTTTCATTACGTCATCCGATATTCTGAATAGGCATATTGGAGCGTCATTCAATGGGTCCCATTGGAATGGGTATGGTGCAGGTGGCAACATGTGGACGTCAAATAACATTTTTGAGGTACATTATGTCCTATTAAATCCTAGAGACCTATTTGTTAAATATCATTAGTAACCCTGACCTGTGGAATACGTTTGACACTATTCGACATTCTGAGGGGGGGGGGGGGGGGGGGGGGGGGGGGGCAGAGGAGGGAAGTATTCGGCGACCAGTTCTTCTTCTGGTGGATGGACACCAGGTCATGTGTCGCTGGAGGTCGCAGAGTTCATTCTCTACCACCTGCTTCCTCACAGCAGCCATGTGACCCGAGTGTCTTTCGACCACTCCAGACAGTGTCCGCCCGGAGAGGAGGTACGGGAGTGACCATCCCGGGGAGTTTGTTAGAAAACTCATTTTTGCTAGAGTATTGATAGAGGCCTGGGAAGAGGTAACGAACAAGCCTGACGTTACTAGGAACGGGTTCGTGTAACCGGGATCATCCCCTTCACCAAGAAGTACCAGGAGGAGAAAGTATAATGTCTCCTTTTCTGCATTGAAGCATACAAGAACAACTGCCTTTCGTACGAAGATCTTGTTGCCATCATTGTTGAAATCCTTATCGCATAAGTCACTTTTTGTTACAGATAAATGATACTGTACTAGTGTGGGCAGATGTACTTGTTTTCAGAACATTTACATGTATGCAGGGCTGTCAACTTGGGAAACTGTTTGGAGGGAGATTTTTTGTTTGGAGAAAAATTTCGCAACGACTCAGCCAGCCGCTGAATAAGTGGGGGGGGTAAGAGCACATATTTTCAAAACAATTTTTTGGCGGGAGGTTTTTCATAAACCGGGAGATTCTACATCTTTGGCAGGAGGAAGGCGTGGTGGAGTAGATCTATGAGAATATTTTTCATAGTAGTCAAGCAGGAGTTTGAAGATTTTACAGGTGTCAATCGCTAGGGGTTACTGAAATTGATTAACCTACAGTGCCTGAGTAGCCATTTGGCAAGAATGCTCACCAGTGGCAAAAGAGTCAAAGAAAGTTGGATTAAAAGATGTTCTTTATTGAATATTGATGATTGAAAAAATAATTGGTTGAACGCCAGTTCACTCTTTTTCTCTTTCCAAGATTGAAGATATCCAAGACACATTCTGCTTTTCAACATCATTGTGAAATTCGAAAGAGGGCTTCCCAAACATCACATACTATTCCATCTCCATCTCAAAGCACAAGAAAGCAACAACAAAACAAGTAATTGCCTCGATACTTCATCTGATCAGCTTGGTGATGAGACAAATGCATGGTCCACCATTAGACTATACTTGCAGAGATGCCAACTTTTGGAAAACAGAAATAGGGAGGATTTGTAACCGACACCAAATAATGTGCGCGTAGCGCACATCTCGAGCGCGTAGCGCCCGACCCATGCGGCCGGGGTCCAGGGCCCGCCTTAGGGCCCTGGAAGCTCTGGGGTTCTAGATGCTCTCTGGTGCAATCTGAGCCTTATTTTGCAGCATTTTACATGTGCATTTGGATTCTGTGTCAATATCCATGCATTGGTTACAGCGATCCATATGCTGAAACAATCTTTCGCTACTCTTTGTCTTTTATATGTCTTTTAACATAGTGGAATTACTACATGCTAAAGTTAGCAGATGATATTTCTCATTCAATTCACAGATATATATACTGATAAGCGCCAAAAAAAAAAAATCATAATTTTTTTTTTTTTTTTTTTTTTTAAATAAATCGGGAGGATAAAGGATGGTGATCGTAAGGTCGGGAGTTGGGGTGAATTATCGGGAGGGTTGGCATCTCTGTACTTGAGAAAGTGACGATTCACCATAGACGGACACCGATATATCCAGCTTGATAAAGATTGATGGATGAAAATGGAGAATGAAAATACCTGCTTGGTGATCTGACATTTGCTTGAGCATCAATCGCTCCAGGCTGTGATATTTAAAGTTTTGTACGCCCTCTTCATACTTGGGAATTAAGATCTCAGAAAGCTTGGAGTGACAAAAAAAAAGAAGCATACAACAGGAAAATTTAAGGAACTAATAAATGTACAGGCATAAAAATGAAAGGACTTTTAATGCGGCGCAGTGAACGAATTTGATTTGGACTGCTTGAAATAGAATATAGCAAAGTTCAGGCAAATGGATTGTTTTCCCTTATAATATAATAGACTCATTGACTTCTTTATGTAAACACAGATGGTAGGACTACAGTGTATATCAAAAACATTTAATTCTCTTTGAGGGAGAAAATTCAACATGGTGCTTGTCCAAGGATCCCCTGGACGCGTCCTTTTTTTTCCAACGAACTTTTATACTTGATGCATGCAAAGAGGTCACAAACAATTGGACTTTGATTATTTATTGCTTTGCCTCACTATTTATAAAGGCAAAACACTAAATAAACTGAGATTTGAACCCTCTGGTCAACTCCAACGTTCTATTAGTATCACGCTGTCTTTACCGATTGAGCAAGCGATGAGTTGACAAAAGAACGATTTGTATAATTACTATCACCCTATTAGCCACCCTACCGGATTCCACGTGCGCATGCGCTGGCTTCCTTCGCGAGTGTGCATGCGCAGGTTCTCCTCGCGAGCTCAAAGTTTGTAGGATTTTTTTTTCGCCCCCTGGACATCCAAAGAATCTTGTATTTCCAACGTTTATTTCTTTTATTCAATTATTAATTAGTCTGTTTTTAGTAGGGTGGCTCCATCAGTAGTTAAATACTGTTTTCCGTGGAGGCCCTACAACATAAATACAAAATGTACAAACATATGAACACATGAATTGCCGTAGCCTGGAGCGAGAACCTATTCAGTCCTCGACAGTGACTATGTCTCTGACACCAGAGACTCTGCCTCTGAAACCAGAGATTTCTTGGGGCAAAGCCAGGGTCAGGCGTAATATATCAAAGTCCAAACCCCAAAGATACAGATGATGCGTAGTCTCTTTAAGTAGCTGAAATCATCATCATAAAATACCGCCTTCAACAGAAAGTAGAACTGGGGAGTCAACATAACCAAAATGTTGAATAGTTTTGTTAAAATTCTTGTACCATTCAGAGTAATACAAATTGGATAGAATAGAAAAGCATAGAATTGGAGGACTCGTTTATAATACTGAATTTCTGAAGGCATCCTATTTATAACCATTACACACATAAAAACACCTACATGTATAAAAGCAGTTACATAATTTAGAAACCTGGGCTCTTTATAGTAAGTTGGGATGATCTCACGGGGCTTTCATCACATAGGGGGCGCTTGACTTGTATCATCGATGACCTTTGCTCTCTCAGCCACTCTGCTCCAAACTCCTGGTGATGCCTGTAGCTTTCACCTCGGCCGCTTCTTACTTTGGAACAAGCTCCCTCTTCTGAAATCTGTGAAATTATTCAAAGAAGAATTGAGGAAATACCTATTGCAAGTACTTTGTATTTATTGGACACCACATAAATGAACTTCTCCAAATTGTTCTCAAAATGATTTCTTACAAGTTAAAACCTTGGTACAGATACTAACAGAGATCTGGATATTTTTTTCTTTTTTCTGAGGATTACAACAGTAACAATTTAGTATTCTTATCATCATAACCTGAAGGGTGAATCTATACCTGTTACTAGTGTCTTGGCAGATCGTCGCTTTCTATGCCCTGTCGCTGCAAATCCTTGAGAGACTTATAGGTCCCATCACACAGAGGTAAAACAAGAGAATCTACAGGTGTTTGACGTCTGCCACGGCCATTGATCAAGTTTTGCTTGAAAGCATCCGGTCCCAGAACCTTGTTGATATTCCTCGCCTTGTTGGCAAACGTCTGTTGATCATTCTGAAAGGAGGATTGGGGTCCTGGCAGATCTGTCTCTGGGTTGCAAGTAGCTTGATCAGCATTGGTTTCCTGTAAAAGATTGAATAATTTAAAACCATAAAGGTATATCAGTGTAGGAAGCTTCCTATTTTTGCATAATAGATACATGTAAAAAGAGAGTACATGACGGCTAGTGTTTGTTTGCTTTTATTGACTTTTAAATATCGCCCTTCTATTCATGTACATGCAAAAGTGGCCACAGCATTTATTTATTTTAGTTTGAGGTGAATCAAGCTAAGAGTTACTATCATTTTATTTCAGAACAGTGCTCTGGATCCTTAAGAAAATGTTTGTGTGGGGGCCCTGCCCGTGGTTAGATTTTCTCCTCCCCTACAAAAGACCCCTTTACTACTACAGGTTGTTTATCAAATTGTTGTTGTTCTCGACATAAAAGCTTGCCTGAGGCTTGCCCGATAAGGCAACAGGTAATGTATGTAGACTGGATTCCAAGTATTTCAATCATTAATAACAGGTTAATTGAATAACTCTTCACTAGGTCCCAAGTAAGGAAACATCCATAAACTAGAAGATATTGGTAAACCAGTTTATTGCATGCATTTTGTTTTGCCTTTATTATTCAGAATTGTAATCCTCGTACCTGCATCAATGGCTCTTCTAAAAACAACGTCTGTTCCATGTTGCCAAGTTGTGAAATCGTCGCCACATCCTGGGAGTTAGGTGAAAGCTGTTGAATAATGAGTTTCTTGTTCTGCTGCACATCAGCTTCGAGAGAAACGTCACCCTGACTATCCTTCTCCGAGACTACTGCATCTGTCTTGTGAGTCAAGAGATGGCGCTTCCTCAGGTAGTTATGGGCAAAGGTCTCTCTGCAGATGGGACAAGAATAAGGTTTTCCGCTTGTGTGGGAGAAGTTATGAACGTGCAAGCCACTAGAGTATCTGAAGCTCTTTCCACAAATCTCACAAACATAGGGTTTCTCGCCGGTATGTTTTCGCTTGTGGGAGTTGAGTGCATTGAGGCTGTGTTTCCCCTGTCCGCAGATATCACACACAAAACGTCTGGAAGAGTGGATCTTTAAGTGATTCCGAACGTCGCTTCGGGTGCGGAAGGCTTGTTTGCAGATCTCACAGCTGTAGGGTTTACTGGGGAGGTGGATCTTGGCATGCCGCCTAGCTACTCGAAGCTTGCTGAACATCTCTCCGCAGACGCCACACTTGAACTTCTTTGTGTGGGTCGTCTCGTGTTTGTCAAGGACGCGGGCCTCGAAGAATGCTTTCCCACAGACTTTGCACTTGTGGCTTCGCTCACCATAGTGAGTAAAAAGATGCCTTGGAAGATTTTGGAAATCCTTTTGACAAATTTCACAAAATGTATTCCTCTTTGCTCTCCTGTTCTTCCTTTCAGTAGATTGGTCTTTTTCACCGCTTATTGTTTCCTTGGACTCATCATTCCAATCAGAATCAGTATCACTCTTACCGGATTCTGATTCATCAGAACTCACAGACATCAATTTCTCTTCCATACCCCTGGTTTTCAGGCTGCTAACTAGCTCAATAACCTCATCGTGCATTGCAGTTACAGCGCTCGTTTTCAGTGAATCTAGTTTTATAGAACGTTCCTTCCGATTAGCTTGAATGCCTTCACCAAGACCTTGTTCAGTCTCTAGAGTTGATCCTTGCAGGCTCTTGTCTCTGGTTGTCACATTAACACACAAACTAATTTCTTTGGCTTCTGCTTTCAGGTTGAGCTTCTTAGGCTGGGGAACGTCTGAAGTATCGGTGTCCAAAATATTCCAAGCATCAGTCACCATTTCTAGCACAGTCCTGGGTTTTTCTTCATCTTGGTCACTCACAGAAATATTTATTGCACTAGATTTTGCAGGGTTTTTAGAGCTCCGACATTCCCAGCCCACCCCATGCACACTTAAAATATCAGTAGGTTTTGGTGTTTCATTTACACCTTTTCTTTCCTTTTTGTCAGATCGAGTCTGGCTTGATAAAATTCTGTCTACTTTCTTAGATTTTGAAACACGAGGTCGTCTCTCAGTCCCTTTCATCTGCTTAGAGTTCAGTTCCTTAGACCAGCTTTGTATTGCCATCTCTTTTGAAACACCTCCACTGCCAGATGGTTTTCGGCTTTTGTTTGACTTGCTACCTCGTAGTTTCAGAGCCATTGCTATATCCAATGTAAGGTATCTCTGTACACTCACAACAGATCCTTCCCTTCCGAGGGAAGTCAAGGTCTTAGAATATCTTTCACTGAAGGCACCACTGACATGGGTCTGCTTATGGTTCAAGAGAGCTCTTTCCCTCAGGAAACCTTGGCTGCACACATCGCATTTTAATTGCGACATCTTTGCATCTTTCTTCATGACTGTAGGAGCTGTGTCTTGATCACTCTCCTCCCTGTATTTCGAACGTATGGCAGCTGATCTCTTACTTTGGCGACAGGCACGTCCCACGGGCGGTTCCATGTTCTTTGAGGTCCCCTTTTAGTTAAGAATCCCTGAGTCTCCCAGGTGAATATTGGATCTCTAGACCATGCATCTATCGTACACAAAGATCATCTGCAGAAGAAGAATTAGTTCCACCAAAGCTTTAGATTTGCTGATTTTGGATGGATGATCCTCCACTATTCTCCAAAATAGGGTCAATCAGCTGAAGGCCGTGAAGAAAATTTTATGAAAAACTTCGCTTTTTCAGGCGAATGCGTTAGGTCAGTTCAGCTCATTCACTTCCTTTGGTCTACTATTGTTGCGTTGCGTTTTGACACAAATCAATGTCCATCCAATAGTAAGACCATATTGAACTTTTTCTCATCAAATTTGGTCAAGCCAATTCTCCAAGGATCTGTGGTAAGAATTATAGAAATGAAATTAAAGCAACCATTACCATGTTTAATGTGTATTCCTTGCTAATTGTAAAATGCACCGCACAACATAGATAATTTTCTGACATCAATCCTTTTCATCTACATGTAGATCTACAGTGGAAAAAAGTAATAACAAGGACACTTGGACTATGAAAATTATATATCAGGGCAAAAATAACACCCTAAAATATAAAAAGCTGGGACCAGCAAAACTACCTTGTTATAACGATTTTGCTGAATTTATCAACACTCCCTACATGCACCTTCTTACACTTGCCAATGCAAAATCAGGCACTTTCACGTACACCGCATGTACTTGCTTCTCCGACAGAACAAACATTGCAAACTCTTGTAAAAGCTCAGGGTTTTTGTCATGTAAAATTCAATGTTAGCTCATTATCATCAGGAATACATGGAAGATACGCAAAAGCGCTATTACTCTGGAAGGTTTTCTCCACATTAACCAAAAATGTGAAAATGTTTTACTGGAGTGAAAGCGATTTGCTTACCTTCCATGTGTTTCTGGTGATAATGAGCTAACATGCCGTTTACATTTTTGAAATGCTGACTTCTCACGAGCGTTCACGATGTTGGTTTTGCCGGAAATGCAAAGACATTGTGTACATTAAAAAAACTGTTTTTGCATTGCCAATTTGATACCGGTACCTACTTTACGATAATAGCAATTAGTTTAAAAGGGCATGTGGGCAGACTTCGGGGAATATAACAAACTTTTAGCGTGTGCCTCAGTAGTATGACCATGTTTCGCGAATGATCTAAATCTTTAAAAAATCGGCAAGATTTCAAAAATCTGATACCACCAATGGAAAGAGTAACCTAAAATTACCCAGAGACAGTTTCCAATGGAATCAAGTGTGAAATTTGAGAGCAGATGTCTTCAAAATTGAAAGTAAAAAGTGGTACCAACTGATTGTTGATATTCTGTCAAATTATGCCTTGCAAAATATGTAATTACCTTTTATTTGATTGATCGCTTTCTGTGATAAATCAGCTGTAAACTCACGTTTTTTTCAAGTCTTTTTTCTGGAGTTGCAGCGATCTGAAAATGAACTTTCAGTCTCAGATCGCCATATTTCTGGAATTCTTTGACTATAACTTTTCTAGTTGCACCAATTTGTATTTTAAAAACTCTGCAGCCCTTTTGGAAATAATTATTGAACTAAATAAATGTGTGTAGAATATGAATAATCATGAACGTAATATCACATTTCAAAATATTTTTAAAATCTCCCTGAATTATGGTCACCCACTCATATACTAGTATACCCTGCACAGATTCAGTGATTTTGGTTGCGAAAAAAATTTATGGCCAACAATCACTTTTGCCTTAGCTTTAGCCTTTGGATTTAACAAGATGCAGGAGCGGTGATCCTGGGGGGGGGGGGCCCTCAATTTCTTTAGGGGGGATCATCCAACCCCCCCCCCCCCCCCCCACCCCTGGAAAATTTGTAAAAGTGCCAAAAAAAAGTGTATAGCAAATATTGACTAAAAACTGCAACAAACTTTTAGGCTCTGGAGAGCCCAAGAGTGCAACGTTAAGAAAAATAAAAATGCAAAAATCTTCTCGCATAAAATCGCAAAGTGTTCAAGTAAATATTGCAGACAAGTGAAGTGTGAAAAAAAAATATTGCTTGTTTTTATACTATAGTTTTGCTAAGGAATGTAATTTTTTAATACAACAAAACCTCAAACCTGTGAGGGGGTAGCCACTTCCGTTATCACCCCTCTCGTTCATTATGCTCCATCGTACAGGCGTAATGATGGGGGGGGGGGGCAGTATAAAATTCAAACATGGTATATTTCCAATTCGATACCAGTGAGTTTAATACAAATGTTGCTGAAATGGCATGGTTTTCACGTGAGCTTCCGGGGGGCTTTGCCCCCTGGACCCCACCAAGGGCCTTAAGGCAGGCCCTGGTTGCTCATCTGACCGTAATTTAATGCCTAAAAAACCTAAGCTTTCGGGGGCTATGCCCCTTGGAGCCCAAAAGGGCCCTAAGGCGGGCCCCTGGTTGCTCATCTGACCGTAATTTAATGCGTAAAAAACCTAAGCTTTCGGGGGCTATGCCCCTTGGAGCCCAAAAGGGCCCTAAGGCAGGCCCCTGGTTGCTCATCTTACCGTAATTTAATGCGTAAAAAACCTAAGCTTTCGGGGGCTATGCCCCTTGGAGCCCAAAAGGGCCCTAAGGCGGGCCCCTGGTTGCTCATCTGACCGTAATTTAATGCCTAAAAAACCTGAGCTTCCGGGGGCTCTGCCCACTGGACCCCACTAAGGGCCAAGAGTTATGTTGTTTTGCTAAATTTAGCCAACAGCTGCATTGCGCAATATGTAAGCGTATGCAAAGTGGCAAATTTCGGAGCTAGGATGCAAACAACATTTCTATCGCTGTTTTGACCAAGATATTTTTAGAATTCAGACACCCCTTTGGAAATAGTTCTGCTCTCTCATATGACACCTCATTTATTTAGTATCACTTTCAGGATCACAACAAATAAAGGTTTGAATCTCAACTTAAAAAAAAAAAAACGTCAACCCATTTTGCGCAATGCACATACATGTACATGTAGATCTAGACTGCATAGGGATGCATGCAATCTCTATGAGAAGGATTTTAGAACACATCGGATCTGCGATCAGACACCCTACTTCATGAAACACGTAGCGGACAAGTAGCTCACGAACGCTGAGTTAGTCAAGAAGTTAGACTTACGACGGTTTCGAGGAATGGGCCCCTGCATGCCAGTGTCACTGTCAAATATTAAGTTGGCAAAATATGCTCATCCGACCTTAATTAAATGCCAAAAAAAACCAAAAACAGAGGTCATGGGGCCAAGCCCCTCGACCCCTGCCGTGGCTTTACCCCCCTTAGACCCTACGCCAATTTTACGCTCGATCCTTTTGCTTTGCTCTACCTGTTCGTAAATACTTAGCTCCCCCCTCCCACTTTGAAAAACTTTCCGCGGGGCCTGTAGTGTATGTAACAATGGAAGTAGGAGAGCTACCAAGTGTCACACATTTTGAGGGTCTGGAAAAGCTCTCACGCACGACGCGCACGCTAGATTTCGAAAAAATGCTATATCTTATACGAGTGTTATACCCTTGCCCGCAAGCTCGCGCGCCGATTCATGAAAATGTCACGCATTGCCAGAGACGCCAAGTTCAAAGATCGGCAATGCGTGACATTTTCATGATTCGGCGGGCAAGGGTATAACACTAGGGTATCTGATCGCGCACCCGATGTTGTGTGCTAAAATATTTCCCATAGAGATTGCACACATCCCTATGCAGTCTACGTGCATTGCGCGACCATGAAAATTGGTCAATGATTTTATGAAAAAAAATTGAAATTCAAACCTTTGGGGCTTGTGATCCTGAAGGTGAAACTCAATAAATGAGGTGTCATATGAAAGAGCAGGTTTTTCTCCATATTCCCCAAGGGGGCGCACCCACGAAATTCTAAAAATATCTTGGTCAAAACAGCGATTTAAATGTTGTTTGCATCCTAGCTCCAAAATTTGCCACTTTCCTGAGCTGCGCCCCCCGGGCTTATGTCCGGCAAGACGTAAGGAAAATATGTATGCACTTATTTTTCGCTAGCCCCAAGAGATCACTCGCCCCAACAGTTTAAAAATACCCTTCCCACATTTTTGGAATCAGCTAATTAGGGAGGCGTGAGCTCCGCTCAGTCCAAACCATGGTTACATCGCGTAACATCTGCGCGTATAGTGAATGAAAGTATGGATAGACATTCGCGCCATAAACCCCGGAAGTGAATACACGTTATAGTCCATGGCAATATCGCGGAGTATCGCGGAGACAACGTGCACGTTGTCCCCGCGATATTCCCATTGACTACAACGTGTATTCACTTCCGGGTTCTATGGCGCGAACGGCCACCCATACTAGTCAATGGCACATATCGCGGAGACAGCGTGGCTCAAGCCGCAAGTCGCGCATTGGCTCAGCAACATGCGTACGATATGCATACGCTTGCATATCGCGCGATACAGCCGTTTGTCTGAATTTAGCAAAACAACATCACTCTGCGTGGACGTCTTTTTCGTCGATTTTGAGCAAAATGATATGAATATACCAGCGTTTTGGAGGGGCTGTAGAGTAGTGGCTCCGGTCTGCGGCCGATCGGCGGGAACTGCCGATTCTATTTTTATTGGAATACTCACAGAATACTTCAATACCCTCAATAAAGAGTCCATATACTTACTTATTAAATAGAAGTCACAAATAACCAAACTGACCCACAGCGTGGTCAGCATTGACCATGTTTCGAAATGCTTCGAGTTCCCCGGTTTGCGGGCACGCAGTACCGGTTTGCGGCACGCGTACGTCACAAAGCTTTATGCGCTACGTCACGATGAAAGCATGTACCAAATTACTACGGGTAACCCAAATTCTCATGTTTATCTGTTGCTACGGTAAATTTGTGAAGTTTTAAACAATTTCACCTTTTCCTCGAATGGATCATCCCATACGGGGGTACGTACTACTAGAAACTATCGGGTCATAGGGGGTACACACATCAGCACACATACCATCATACACGATCCCGCATGTTATGTGTGTATTAACACCCCCTGCCGCAAACCAGAAAAACACGTAATTACGTGCCGGTTTGCGGTCACCCCATGCAACTAGCCATGCGGTGGCACAATCAAAATATCTGCGATAGGAGACAGACCACAGCCATCATACTTCCACAAAAACATCAAATTTCACCTCCAATCGGACAAATATCGGACAAATAGAGCTACAATATTGATCTAGTCATGCCTCGATCTCTTAACTTAAAAGTTAGCACCTGCTGGAATTTTCATCGGCGACTGGTGCCGTAGATTTCCGACATCGCTGACGGATACTCCGTACCGATAGGAGCACCTGCTACGGACATTTTCGGCAAAGCAGAACTTACCGTGGAATCCACGGTAGGTTTCAATGATTATTATCGAGTCATATTCATTTTATTTTTGAAACAAATACCCCTGGCCGCAAACCGGGCGATGCCGCAAACCGGAGACTCTACTCTATCTTTTGATAGAAACATCGCTGAGACTTGAAATTTGATATGTATTATTCTGAATCTGATTACATTTTTTATTCAAATATCAAACAAAAATGGTGAAAAACGATCCCAAATTGAAAATTGAAAAATCGTTCAGACACCCACACATACATGTAACTTGTTAGACCCTAGATCTCGATTTCTAGATCTAACTTAGACTCTAGACTAACTTAGTCTAGATCTAGACCCTACTAGTAGATCTAGACCTACAACAAGTACAAGGTAGTCTAGACTCTATAAGCGTTTTTTTCAAAATCTAGCGCGTGCGTCGTGCGTAAGAGCTTTTCCAGACCCTCAAAATGTGTGATACTTGGTAGCTCTGCATTGCTGATCTTTGAACTTTGTGTCTCTGGGTGATGCAGATTTTTTTCTGCCCCCCCCCCCCCCCCCCCGCCCTCCTCCTCCAAACAAACGTTTTTGCTCATGCATGAGCCATGACACTGTCTTCTTAAACCCAATCGGTGAGGTAATCAAAATCTTATCCAAATTTATTACGTGTAAACTTCTCCAAATTACTATTTTAAATCAACTGTCCCGATACACAAACTTTCCCGAAACACAAGGGCTGGATCTGGGCGCCGCTAGATACACGTGCACTGTACGTACACATTTGCGTGTAGAGTCAATGGGGATGTGAAACCCCTTGGCCTTGGAAGTTTGACTGAACAGCAAGATAGTCTACATAAAAAGTTAAATAAAATGAAGTGAATGAGTAGTGGCTTATTTCACTAGAATGCTGTGATGTCATGTAACCTCTTGATATGTAATTACACTACAACTAACCTGCCAACACACTTGCAGTGCCTATTTATATAGCAAAATAATATTGTTCGTCGAGCTCGAGGTGTCTGTCGAATGGCCTGGCGTGAATCGGCTGCATGCGTTATTCTTCGGCGGTTTAGGCATATACTTCGCATGTACTGTACACAGTGCATGCATGATCGACGACACGCATGATGCATTTTGACCCAAAACAAAATGCACATGGTGCGGAATCCCAGGTCGGAGAAATAGTCTGCAAAAACAGACGCTTAACGGGTGAGGGGGCTAATTTTGGCTGATAAAAGATCTTCTTACATTATTTTGTCTGACACATTTTTTGTAAAACCCCACCCCTAACAATACGAGTCAGGGCACAATTGAGAGCGGCAGGGTCTTTACATGGGGATGTTATTGGGGCATTTACCAACAAAAAAGGGCACCAACAAAGGGAAATCTCAAAGGCGAAAATAGACAATTTTTTTAGACATATTAATTGGTAGATACCCCTACATTGTGATTACGTTATCAGGGATGATTTCAAAATTTGTTTCTCTTTATACGTATCATACAAGATATTGCATGCATCATATCAGTTGGGTGTGATGGTGTGAAAATTCATTTTGTACTAGTGGTAGTGCGAAAAAATACATCTTATAAAGAAGGAAAAACCCAATCCCGATGGGGTTGACAGGCGCGTAGCCAGAGTTTGATGTTTGGGGGGGGGGGGCACATACATGTAATCGATCGAGGTCAAAAAAAGGGGTCTACAAAATTTCAACCGATCCCCCCCCCCCCCCCCCGTGGCTACGCGCCTGGGGGTTGATAAGCACATTCTCATAACTGAAGACTGAAAAGACATTTTATAAGTAACATGATTATTTCATCTATGAATGCGAGCGAAATTTCTCTTAGTCGCTTAAAATTAGGGACTTGTTTAAATTAATGTGATAGAAAAGGGGATACTTAGCAAAAGTGATAAGACACCTAATAGAAAAGAAAATGAGTATACGTGTCAAAGTACAAAGCGTAAGTTATCAGAGGTGAAAATAGGGCACTTCTTACACCTAAAAAGAGACCCTCACCACGAATAAGGCACTTATAAGAATGGGAGATAGACATTCGTCGTCGGAAAAGGGGCACCAATCAGATTTTGATAGGGGCATTTATAACAGGTGAAACTCGGGGGCTTTCATGAGAAGGGGGAAGTGGTTCTAAACTTTTAAAAAAGGGACATGTTAAAATGAAAGGGGCATTTATCAGATGTTGAAAGGGGTAATTATGAGAAGGGGAAAAAACACTTATAGGAAGGGAAAAGAGAATTTATTAGAAAGGAAAAGGGGCACGTGTCAAAATAAAAGGGGCAGTTATTAGTGGTGAAAAGAGTAAGTCATCTGATATGAAAAGAGCACTTATCAGGAGGGGAATTAGGGGAACTTGTCAAACTTAAAACGAGTATTTCTAAGATTTGAATAGGGGCAATTATCGGAGGTGAGAGGAGGCACTTATCTGAAGAGAAAATGGGCAACTTCTGTAAGCATGCGTGACCAAAACAACGCGTATGAATTTTTAAAAAATAATAGATTGGACGCGGTCCGCGCGGTGCCGCGTTAAAGTGTTAAAATACTCAATTTTCAAGAAAAGGGGTACTTTTTTCAAAATCCTGCTGTACGCGTTTATCTTATTTTTTTCTTAATCCCGTCTTATATATTAGATGCCCTGACAGGGCGGATCCAGGGGGGGGGGGGAGGGGGCGAGCGGGTCTTGGCTGCTAATCTGACGGTAATTTGTAGAGTTAGGGTTATTTTTCTAGCCCTCAGTGCCAGACCGGGGAGGAAAAAAAAGGGGTAATAATCGCCCTAATCGTTCTTTAGTAGATAAAGATGGATGCCCGTGATTTTGACCCAGACCTACCAAGCAGGCGCGGATCCACGTGGCGATTTCTCCGGCCCGTACCCCCCCCCCCTCCCCAGCCCCCCAAAAGGGTAAATTCAACTTTTTTTAAAACAAAAAACAAAAGCGGACCCCCTCCCTCCCCCCCAAAAAAATATATATTTTCACCCCCTCAACAAAATTGTGGTTCTCCCCCCCCCCCCCGCTTATTCACCGGCTTGATGAATCGTTGCAAAATATTTTCTCACGAATTGGGAACAAAAAAGTGCCCCCCCCCCCCCGCTTATTCACCGATCGCCTGAGACGGTGCTGAATTTTTCCTCAAAATACTGGAAATATATATATATGTGCTCTTCCCCCCCCCCCCCTTATTCACCGGCCGGCTAAGTCGGCGCCAAACTTTTTCTCAAGATTTGCCCCCCCCCCCCCCTCTTGTCGCCGGCTGGATCCGCCCCTGCTTCCAAGTCTCATGCCTATAGCTGGGGGGGGGGGTTTCATAAAGAATTTATGTCTAGACATAAACCCCAAAGTCTCTCTTAAGTGTCCTACTTATATGAGAGACTTTAGTTATGAGACTTTTCTGTTTCATAAAGCAAAGTCTACACATATTAAGTCTCTCTTAAGTCAAAAGTCTCTCATAAAGTTACGAGAGACTTTTACCTCTCGTAAGTATTCAAAGTCTCCTCATATCTTTCACATAATATCTATTACTACTTAAATTTCAAGAAAAACATTTGACACTAAAGTATTATGCAGTACACTTGTAATTCCAATGGATGTAACAGATATATTTCAGATATTTATAGCATACTAAGGCAGTAAATATTAGTACTCAACTGAAAATAATTTACATTGGTATTAATATAAACAATGGTGTAAGTAACAAATGTCACAATGCAATATCTTATTTTAATTTAAAATATCTTGATGAGAAGAATAAATAAATGTTCATTTTTATATTGAAGCAAACATAGTAACAAAATAAACATTCAATACTGTAAATTCTAACAAAGATTATTGCATCAAAATGTCAGTAAAATAGCAAGTTCACAGGTAAATCAAGAAAACGCACTAGTATTTATGTACTTTTTCAAAGATTAAAGTTGTATATCTCATCAGTAATTAAATGCACAGGAAAAGCTTTAAAATAATTCCACAAAATGTTTGTATTTATTTTAAATTATCTTAGTATTTATTTTGCTTGATAATGACCTACAGTGTAACTGTCCCTTTTGCAGGCTGAAAATATAAATGTGTGTAAATCAGATTGTAAACAAGATGTAATAGCATCTAAAAACTGCTCTGAAAGTATGGTGCAAATCTTATGGTAAACAAACAAGAGCAATACCAACTAAAATCGCCCCTTAAAAGTTAAAAATAGATACTAGCCTCAAGGTGGAATTTTAGCGATAAGTGGAGAAGGAAAAAAAAATAGTCTGATATTTCAGACCCTTGTACTGGACAGTGGTTTTGTGCCGAAAACAGACTCAATCACTTTAATGCTGGCCATTACAAGAAGCAGGATATTGATGTGTACAAATGCTAATGTGTCCTTCACAGCTCATTTTAATATAAAGTTAACATGTAGTTAATGGCTACCAACTAAAAACTCCTCTTCAAGGCAGCAGCTCTCATTTGCACTCCTTTCATCAAATTCCATGAAGTGTATATAGTGTATTCTCCTGCCAAAGAGTTTTACCCATGCAATTTAATATTTTGGGGAGGGTGTGCAAATAAGGGCTACCAACTTTAAAGGTGCTGTGTCTCTTTAGCAGACAGAAAATACAAAGTGGTGTAAATCAGTGGCGTAATGAGCAAAAACGTTTGGGGGGGCTGACAAAAAAAAATCCGCAGCACCCCACTCTAACATGCAGGCCCCGCTGAACGTTTCGCAAAGTGGGGTCTAGGGGCAAAGCCCCGGCGGGGGTCAAGGGGTATGGGCATCAGTGGCGGATCCAGGAATTTCTTACCGGGGGGGGGGAGGGGAACAATCTGGCATGGGGTTAAATATATGTAAAACGATGAAGCGACAGAACGAGGCTTAATTTAGCGGCGAGGGAGCGGAGCGACTAAGCGGGGGTGGGTCTGGGAGGGGAGTTCTGGCGCCCTCCAAGAGTAAGAAGCATTTGCAATTTTAGAACCAAATTAGACGCATTTTCAGGCACTTCCTGGAGTAATATGACGTAAAATTACTTTCTCCTACCCCTTCCAAGAGTAGGGATCTTTGACTTTTGCAATTTGAGAACCACACTTGGCGCATTAATGTCCACCGGCACTTCCTGAAACGAGGCCTTCTGATTGGTTAGAAGTTAGAGAAAAGTGATCTGTCACGTCTTGAGACGTTGTATAATTATGCTTTGATGCCGCACAATGCACAAAGACGGTGGTCCGGTACTTCATCAGTAGTACTTGCAGAAATGTTCTCGAGTGTATAAACTGTGTCGTTATCAGGGGCGTCGCTAGATCTTTGTCAGTGGGGGAGTGGGGAGGGAGTAGAGGCCACCGATTACCGACAAAACGAGCAACCAATTACCGACAAATATATTAATGCCAATGTCCAAATGTCTACAAATTGAACCCTATAAACCCGGGGTCAGGAACTGAGTTATTTTTCAGTCTCCCCCCATATGGAAACGTTTGCTTGTATTTGTCTCATAAAAGAATTTTAGAACAAACTGACTCCCACACGGTGTTGAGTGCTCAGGGGTCACAGGCCACTGGCTTCATCGGGCAGGTAGTTCCATTATGTGAATGGGTAAATTAACTATTACAAAATTAGGGGACTCATTACATTGTACAATAGGGACACACATTGTTTTTATTGTGCAGAACATCCTCTTTTATTGACTTACTTATTGCATGAAACTATAAAACCAAAATGCATTTTGTATTCTTACAATAGGAGTACAAAGAATAATAACAGGTGAATGAAATGCATAAACACCACAAACACCTGGGGAGGAAGCATTCATAAATTTGAATACATATAGTTGATAAACGACTCTGATAAAACTATAAGACCAAAATGAAATTTGCGTTCTGGCAATTGGAGTACAAAGAATGATAGCAGGTGAATGAAATGCTTCAACAGCAACACAACCACCTGGGAAGCTAGGAAGCATCGATAAATTTGAATAATTTAGTTGATAAACGACTCCGCATGTGGACGTTTGTTGGAGCAGAAAGCAGTGGATTCTTAACAACACGAACCCAT